CCATACAACACCAAACATTTGAATGATTAACTCCAAACAAGCTAGTGCCTGTGTAATCTCCTTATTATCCACTCTTATCAAGCAGCTTCTCGTATTCTCGTATCCTGCTCCATTTGTATCTGTTTGTGCTATGTGTATCGTACAAACGTGGTCGGAATCAGATGGTAGCTCTTCTTTGGTATTTATTTCGTGCTTGGGAAAGTGTCAGTCATTGTGCTCTGAGTACCCCTTGAAGGCTCTGCTGCAATTATGTCCAATCCAACTTGTTTCTCTGTGTCTGGAACCCGAACATCTATTGTTGTCCACTATCTTCCTGGAACCACTCTCCTCGCAAATTTTTTCTTTTTAAATGCTTAAGTATTCCAATATGTTACCAATTAAACATTCCAGAGGGAGCCTCTATCACGCCTTAAAAGGAATGACGCCCAATTTTAAATCACCCGTATATTATCAGATTTGTAAATTTTACTGTAAATTCTAAATATATTTCAAGTGTAATATCTTATACCTAAGTATAACCGTTTTTGATATATTTGAAATTTTACGTAAAAAATTAGTTGCAGCCACTCGAATAATTATTAATTTTTCCTATAAGGGAATGTGTGCTACTTAATTTGAGTCGGTTTTCTTGTTGAAAAGAACTTACTTTAATGGAATTTCGCCAACTTTTTGAAAACTATTAATACAAACTGTTAAAAAAATAAGTTTCAAAATGACTTTGACAAAATCGCCTTACCTATATCAATTTTTCAATTAAAAACCCCCATTTTTGATCGTTTTATCTTACTTAGTATTAAAAATAAGGGTAAGTTTTTGTAAAGTTTTCTATTCCAAAATTGTTTAGTGTTCGAAATATTGTCAATTTAATGTTTTATATTACGATTTTGCCCTCATCTCATTTTAAGTCCTGCCAATCTTAGTTGCCATGACGAAAGTGGCCATTTTTAATACAATCAAATGTCAAAATAATGCTGAAAACTGTCAGTCGCCTTTTGAAAATACTTAATAATCATGCCCGGACCCTTAAATTATACAAACGAAAATTATTTAAACTTATTTATTATTTCTGGAGAATTTGATACAGTTTTATCAATAGCATGTGACACACTTGCCATTCGATATACACAAAACCGGAGCCTTCATGTTGTGATGTTAAACAAATAATAGAAAATTTTAATAATTTGGAATACAACTAAATAACAGTGCATGTTCAATTGATAAGAGCAACCAGAAAAATTAGACACCCTAGATTTGGAAGAAACTGGTTTTGGCTTTTGATTTAATAATAATTGATGGGCAGAAAAACCGATTGGGTCGATAGCCTTTTTCTGTAGGAAATAAAGACTTAATGTTAATAATGTTATAATGTTAATAATACATAAACGGTTCTTGAAATAACTTTATCACATTCTCCATTAATAATAAATAAGTTTAACTAATCTTCGTTTGCATAGTTTAAGCGTCCAGGCATGGTTAATAATAATTTTCAAATTGCCATTTTGCTTTATTATAAATAATGAAGCAAAATAGCGATGGGCAGCATCATTGCTATTAGAAGATAACAGTGGACCTCGTACAGAGATTGCCGGTGCTTCGAATTCACAATTAAGCTGTACTAGCTTAAAACGGTTGCGAAACTGCACCCCAGAAAGAAGACGGATCCTACTGCGCGTGTTCATATCCCTAGAAAACTTTTCATGGATCAAAGTACAAGAATAGACGTTTTGAAGCCATGCAATCCGAGAGGCACTCGCCGCTCGAGCACCAGGACCACGAGTGTGAAATTGACTACGGGATAGTAGGTAACCAGCGTTCCCATAGAAAATATGCTACTGGAAAAATACACAACCAGAAGCCGTCAATGCATAGAATCTGCACATGGAACGTTCAAGGTCTTAATAAACCCGGGAAAATGATGAGTGTCGAAAAGGCCGTGAAGAACTTAGCCATTGTTGGCATATCAGAAAGAAACTGGAAAAATAGTGGCTACTACGTATCGCAGAGCGGCTTAATGATTTACAATTCATTAACGGGGTCGCCTGTATAATACATAAACACTTAAAGGACACTGTACTTGGCTACGACGCAGTCAGCGACCGTATCGTCACCGTCAAAGTAAAGGCGCAGCAAGTAATTCTAAACCTTATTCAGATGCATCCCGCCACAACTACATCGTCTCAAGAGACGACTTTTACAGTTTATATGTATCACTCTCCCAGACACTCTCGAAAGTTCCAAACAGGGAGCTTTTAATAATTCTAGGTGATTTCAATGCCAAAACCGGCGAAACAAAAGCCGACTCACACCTAAGATCGGTTGTAGGGCAGTATGGAACGAGAGTAAGAAATGAACGTGTAGAGATGGTGATGGTGAGAAATGGTAAATTATGTGCAGAGAATCAGCTACCAATCGCTAACTCCTACTTTCAACACCATGTCAGGAGATTGTCCACACACCAGACGGACATACACGGGACAGATCGATTATTTATTAATAAAGAGTAGATGGAAAAGCTCGATTAGAGATATAAAATCCTATCCCGGTTTGGACTGTGGTAGTGATCATAACGCACTGGTCGTAGAGCTTAGCTTGAAGCTGCGCAAAGATCGACAACAAGCAACTAAACCCATCCTTTGGAACATAGGCAACAACCCCACATTGAAAGACAACATCGAGGGAGCTTTGACAACTATCACACAAAAAGAGCAGAGCGCATGGATGCTAATTACCTCTGGATAGAGATGGAACGAGCCTTTAATCGTGCGGCCGAGCTGGCTGATACAGATAGGAGCGACCATCCCAAAAAAACATGGATAACTTCATCAATATGGAATCTTATAACCGAAAGGAGAGATCTTAAAACTAAGGACATTGGTGGCGACAATTACCAGAAATATAGCGAACTTAGCAAAGTGATCAGCAGGAGTATACACAACGACAGAAACATGTACATAGCATCAATATGCGAAGACATCGAAAACCATGCGAACTCAAACCAGATCTCAATATCTTCTTTAAAAAGTTAGAATGCTGTCAAAAACATTCAAAGTTCATCACTTCCCAATCGAGACGCACATGGAGTTAGGCTAACCATAAAAACCAAAATCATAGAGCGATGGCGGCAATACTGCACAGAGCGACGAGCATTTAGAAAACATCCATCAGCGCAAACCGCCTATATTAAAATCCGAAATAGAAGCTGCTATGCGCATACTAACAGTTACAAATCTTCTGGATCTCATGACATCGTCGCTGAAATGCTGAAGAGCAGTGGCAACAAAGGCACAGAACTACTACATCAGATCTGCACAGAAGTATGGGAATACGGTAAATGGCCCGAAAGATATCTCTACATAAAAAGGGAGCTAAGGATGAATGTGGCAATTACAGAACCATCGCATTTATCAGCCATACCAGCAAAGTTCTCTTGCGAGTTATACAGGAACGTTAAAAAAAACTACCTTCTACGTGAGATCCCCCAGAACATGCAGGGTCTATAACGTGTCGTCGAACGCGATATCAACTTATGAACCCACGACAAATTATAGGAAAAGCATGCGAGTACAACATACCAGCTAATTTTTGCTTTCTTGACTACACCAAAGCCTTTGATACCGTACAATGGGAATGACTCTGGAATATCCTGAGCGAGATGGGGGTTCCGAAACATCTCACATATATCATAAAAGCCCTGTACGACATGAATATAGCACGCGTACCAATATAAAGGAAACCTTCAACAGATTTCAGCGTCGGAAAAGGAGTCAGAGAAGGCTGCACTTTCCCAATTCTCTTATATGCGGAGAATAGATTATCAAAAAGGCGCCGGAAAACTGGAGGGGCGGAGTGTCTGTTGGCGGAAAAAAGTCATTGTCAAACCTACGATGTGCGGATGACACGATAGATCTGGGCCAAGGCGAACAGGAAATGTTTGAGATACAATCCCGATGCCACTTCGACTCATCCACGATATAGAGACCAACAACAGTGTTATCTATCTTTTCGCAAAAATAACCAACAAAGGAAGCTCTGAGCCAGAAGTCAAGAGAAGGATTGGAATGGCAAAGAAAGATATGGGCAGACTAGTTAAAATCTGGAAATACCACAATGTCCGGATAATTACCAAGATGAGTCTTCTCAAAGTGCTGATATTATCCATTGCAACATAAATATCAGAATCTTGGACATTAAACACAGCATCCCGCAAGAGAATAAAAGCGTTTGAATGATATTGTACCGTGGATGGCCGAGTAGCAAACTCTTTCTTTAACTTCCAACTTTTATTCCACTCGGTATAACTTTAACTACGGAACAGGAACAAACTAACTTAAAAATTACCGTCAACTTCACAAACCATAACTGGCGGAAAACTCGCTCTTCCGACTAGCGGGGTTTAACCTCTTCTGCACCCGGTCGTTGCTGTCACTTCCCTCCCCTTGTCTGGTTCTCGTCGTCGCTTATATAGTTTCCTCCAGGTGGTTCTCAAAATGGTTCTCAAAATCTCCAGAACAGATGCAAAACTTCCCGCTTGTCAGTGTCATATTTGACAGTAAATGGGGCGTAAATGGGGCTCCCATTTACTGAAATACCATGAATTTTAATCCTTCCATTTCAAACGTGAGTACCCCAGGCCATTTCCGTTACAATATGTTACCATAGGATGCTGAGAATCCCTTAGACAGCTCATAGAACAAATATCTCGATACGCAGAGAACTGAATATTCGAGAAATGATAATGAAAGGCTCCTCCCGGGAATCCAGAGGCGCATACTTAAATATTTCGGTCACGTGATACGAAAGGACGGGATGAAGGAGACTGTGATCCAAGGAAAAATGGACGGCAAAAGTACGAGAGTTAAATCTCCTGTAAGATTCATAGACCAAATTAAGGACCTTACAAGTATGTCGGTACCAGAAGTGATGAGAATCGTAGAGGATAGAGAAGCATGGCGAAGACGTGCACCATGAATAGGCACGACGCTCGAAACCTAGCGACGTCTGAAGAGATACCTTCTGAAATACTGAGCTTGTAATCAAGATGGAGTGTATAATCTTAAATTTCAGTTTTAACCAATATCTAATTTTTTATTATACATTTTTCACTGACATAGCTTAGTACAAAATATCGTTACTAGTCCAACGACTAGAGTAACACAAAGCATTCTATCACTTAACATATTTAATAATCTCTACTAGATATTTTTTAAATCTGATTGCAGGGAACAAGCTAGCAACGATATCCTACGAAGCTTTTCAAAACCTACCAGAACTGGAACATCTGGACATGTCCTACAACAAAATAGAAAAATTCGATTTTAACATTTTGGATCAAGTAGGAACGTTAGCGATGTTCCATTTGAACGTCAGTCACAACGTTTTAAATAAACTGGTTTTGAACATGCCATCAACTTTTGTTAACGACATTGGTAAGTGACTTAAATCATGATCAAAACAGTGAATATACAGTGTGGTTACTCAGAATATGGCAAAGAGTCAAATGCCTGTTTTCTCAACTGACACAAAAGTTTTCTTTTGATGATTATTAAAAATACGCCTTGCTTTGAAGCTACAGGGCAAGGAAAAAATTGCATCATTAACATTTTATTATTAAAAATGTCAGGGTATGTAATAAATCATCATCTGATCTGATCAAACTCGTATTTTGTGTGTACATATGTTTGAACATTTTTCATAATCACAAATCCAGGAGGATTTCCTGGTAAGTGAGATCTACCTCAAGGGATAAAATTATATTCGTATGTTGTAACGATCAATGCGATAGATGCGCTAGCTTTAAATAGTTTGATGACTGGAGGAAAAGTCTCGATTCATGCTCTAGAGCTGGTAATAATCATATTGAACAATTCATGCACATCACATAATCATTTTAAAGAATACGATTCCTGTTAAATATACGCTACTGTCTCTAAGATGTCAGTAGCCCATACATTCACAATTTTTTCAAAATTATTAAAATTGTTGAAACATTATTTTAAATTTTTATTATTTTTGGTAGGTGTCTTTAAAAAACTTAAAACTTATTACTTACTGACAGCGCTACTATACCATGCACCTACTTTTTCTTATACAAACATTAAAGTTAAACAACAACTTATTAAAGTTTTAGTTACGTATTTTTTTTCATTTTTATTTAAATAATTTTTTGTTAACGGAATATATATATATCAAAGAAATTAAAATTTTCCCGTATTATGATATATTGTCATATTATAATACATATTATCTAAAATTATATAAATCTGTTATGGTATTGAAATTACCCGATATATGACGGTTTTGAAATTATCCACGACACCGGCTACTAAATAACTTTCCTCAACTAACTTTAAAATAGTCTGTCCCTACTGTATAGGTTCTGGAGGGTACCATTCGAATATCCAGGTACTAGACATGTCCTTTAACAACATTTCTATGATTGCGAAGAAGTTCTTTAGGCCAGCTGAAATATCGTTGACTAATTTATATTTGAGCCACAACAGAATAATCAACGCTACAAGAGACGTTTTTGGGAATATGCCGCACTTGCAGTGGCTGGATCTCTCTAGTAATCATATTTATGAGATGGACTTTGATATGTTTAGAAACACAAAGAAATTGCAGGTGAGCACCATCAAATCTAGCCTGGTTCACGTGGCAAAATATTGAAAAATGTTACTACGATATGTTTAGAGGTGTAAGTGAAACTAATTATCTGATTCATATGTATTACCTAAATGTTAAATGGTACATGGTGTCTCGCGGTTGATGATAACTTATACGTATACGTATACCAAAAAACAGTGCATTCGATTACAGGACAGTAAGCACGTCTCTTATATTTTCAATGAAACATTTTTATTATTATTCTCTTACATTTTTTTTTGTTATCCATAAAATTTCGCAAATGATATTTTATACACCAGAGCTGGTGTCTTCGCACTCCAATTTGTGTGTCACTGCAGCTTATCGGTTCACCCCCTACTTAGTTAATCTATGGTTCACACACCGAGGTAGCATCCAGCTATGATCCAGCAGTTCTTTCTTCCACCTGCCTGCTTTTTCAGTCTGGGAGATGTGAATTTTAAGTAAGCGAGCGCAAATATTTTTTCCAAAAATTGAGAATCACGACTTGCGTACAATTTTCAATAAAATATTCCTATTTTATTTTCAAAAAATGCATTATTCGCGCTTAAATGCAATTGAAATTTGCCTAAAGTATAGTAATTCTAAATATATTTTTGACATTTAAGCGCATATATGCAAATATACGAAATAAACATTTCTGGGAAGATCATAATCCACACGTGGTTCATCAAACGTCATTTCAAGAAAGATTTGGCGTCAATATTTTTGTCCTCATATAAATGATAATCACCTTTATGAAGAATCGTTAAATTCATCCATGTACCTCCAAATTCTAAGGACAGTGGTAAGCAATTTTTTAGAAAATCTGTAACTAGAAGAGTACGGCACATGTTGGTTGCAACTGGATGGAGCACCGGCTCATTGCACTCAGGAGGTAACCAGGGAGCTCTTCGAAGTGTTTGGTGACCGCTGGGGGCTTGGGCTGGTATAAAAAGCGTACAGAAGCTGTATCTATAACTAAGCTGACAACGGGTGTGAAGAATTGCAAAATCTTCAACTATTATGACATTTGATGGCTATTTTGACAAATACGTCGACATAATCGAATTTTTTCAAAAATGTCGATTTATTTCGGAAAATTGACGCTTTAGTTATAGAAACATGATATATCGTTTCACAGGGAATTTAACGGTCTTCTTTGAACTATTATACAGTGTTATATTTGAAAAACTGCCAAAACTTTAAAATTTCAGGCATCCAAATCGCGTTGTAATACAAGATTCCTTGGGGTTACGTTTTGATTAAAAATAATGAATTTTATATTAAATAAAATTTCGGAAACCGCTTTAGATAGGAATCGTTATGCAAAAATTATGAGATCTATATAGCCAATCTAACCGTGCCATAATGAACAGGGTGTCTCATTTAAAATATCAAAGTTGTATGTACTTTTCAGTATAAGCGGCAACCTTGCATTGCTGAATATATTTTAGACCGATAGAGCATATCCGATGACTTTGTTGTAGAAATTTGTAGATAGATCGGGCATAGCGTTCTCCTTAAACGTCTAATACGCCATCGACCGTGAATCACCCTGTATATCCTGGTTTACATCTAAACTCCTCTGAACTAAGATATTAAAAGCAAAAAGTGCTTCTCGAGTTCCGTACGCACTTCAAAAGCCAAATTGTGTTGCTCCAATCTCTTCCTGCAGTCTTTTGTGTATTATATTATTGAAAATTTTGAGGAACATCTTCAGTGTGTGGTTCATCAGACTGATTGTGCGATAGTCACTGCATTGCCTGGCATGTGCTTTTTTCGGTAGGGTCACAAACGCCGACATCAGCCAGTTTTGCGATATTATGCTGGATTCATATATTTTGTTGAACAAATTCACTAATCAGACTATGAAGGCTTTCACGGCCGGTTAAATCACATTTAGGAATGTTTTCCGGGCTTTGAAGCCGTGGTCTATGGGAATTTCTTCCTGACGTTTCGTCCACAACTGCCGTGGACATTATCAAAGGCGATGAGGCAGTGGGCGAAGTGATCTCCCTTGCTTTCCGACTAAGACTGGTTCAACTGCTATCATATTTGAACATATTTATTTTCAGCTAAGTTTACAAACTTCTTACTGCTACTTATTCTACGGATCCTTAGTGCTAACATCGTTAGAGTGTTTAACACTCTATGTATCTTAAGATATATCATCATATGACTTAATCTAAATTAACCTAACAAACATAATCTAAACCTAACCCTAACAGCCTCTCTTGCTTCCTATAACTAATTTAAAGTTAGCTCATGGTCCTCGATGTGGTGTAGGAACTGGTCATCGCATGTGGTCCACGTCTTCTTCTTAGACTGTGTCCGCAGGGAGAGGTCTGCGGTCACAGTTGAACTTCTTGGTGCAAGAAACCCTG